CAACAGCGATCCATGGAAGTATTCCTTTTAGCGCATGCGCAAATGAGCTACACTACGGATCGTGCTTCCGTAACAGATCGGGCCGTGACCGGCACGTCGAACTTGTAAATTGTGATTATGTAAATCAGCATAGCAACTTTTATACGGTTAACTCCCACGGATGCTTAAAAACGGTTACTTTCATCATGAAAGTGTTGTGTGAATGAGAGGGATTTGGAGTACGAAATGACTCTCCCTCGCTGTGATTACTGTCTTTACGTGGCCACGTTCTGGTTTATGGGCCTAATCTCAACCTAAAACCATGGCAACAAGATGTTAACCTGTTTTCTGGGGCGTTTTAAAGCTGAGGCTGAATGTCTGACGTGTTTCTCTGCGCTTGGAGTCGACGTCCAGGTCGTTTGTTTCCTCACTAAACACACCCTCCATCGATTTGCATCGTTAGCCCACAGCTGTCCAGACACAGTCTCCCTGGAAATCATTTAGCAACAATGATTCTTGTCCAGCCTGTTCCAAAAATTAGGGAGTTTTCAGTTCAGGGCTGAGCGGAGAGTTAAATATGTTATTCTCAGCACTTAAGCTCTGACTCACTGCTTTCACAACCTTGTTCCAAGACCGTTCAGTACGAAGGAGCTCCTCTCACCGACATTTGGACCGGATATTAAACTTTAGTTCATTGATGTACTGCAGTAAAAAGTAGGAGGTGATTCTTTGTGATGAAGTGTTCGAGTCTTGAAGATTTAAATCATTCTCCTCCTCACTCCCACTCATTGTTTCTATTCTGTAAAACGCCTGAAGAGAGGGGGTTTTAATAGAAAGTTCACCTATGAACAATTATTATCTTACCTGTTGCAGATCGCTGTTTGAATGACCTCAGTTTGTAGTTTAATTACGAGCTAATGGCTACTTTGAGCCACCTTATCTTAAAAATATGTTTGTTGTAAACTGTACGTTGACGTCTGCATTGAAATATGTACAGTAGTCCCTCGCTACTTCACGGCTCAACTTCCACAGACTAGCTCTCTCACGGTTTCTCATCGATTGTCAACTTTAATATTATTTGTGATTGGGACGATATGGGAAAAAGTTTAAGAAAAAATACTTCAGTCAGGCACCGCCATTTTGTAGTTTTCTTTCAACAAGCCTTGTAACGCCATTCAAAAGAACTACACTACCCAGAAGCCAACAGTGCTTCCGGCCGCTGCTTTCTGCCGCAATAGAGGGAAACTTTTTGCAACGCAAAGTCAGAAGTAACGATCGATCTATTAAGTTCGGAACTGGCGGGAAGGTCGCAAATAATCCTGACGCTTCATGAGCCACGTGCACATGGACCTGGACGGGGCGGTGGGCTTCACCGCTGCAGGGTGGGTCTTCAGAACCAGAACCGAGCTGCTGTTCTGCAGAGCTGCTGGGTAAAATTTTGCAGTACTCTACAGTACATATACTGTACGTATGTTGTCAAAACGACGTAGGTTTAAGAGTTTAGAACATTGCAAGAAGAGTTTATAAAGCCTTAAATATATATATATATATATATATATATTTTTTTTTTTTTTTTTTTTTTTATATATATATATATATATATATAAAATACTAACATAAATATAACGTTCATACTTCATGGTTTTTCACCTATCACGGTGGTGTGTGGAACTGTATCATGGGGCGACTGTGGATGAGTGGTTGGAGCAGTCATACTCCAATGTGAGAGTTGGGGTTCGATTCCACCAGCAGTCACATGTTGAAGTGCCCCTGAGCAAGACACTGAACCCCTCATTGCCTCTGATGTGTGTCCCTTCGGTGTATGGATGTGATAAAGCTCTGATTATTCTTTTAAAGGTACAGTAGAGAGCTGGATGAATGGGTGAATGAGGCACAGATTGTTGTGAAGAGCTCTGAGCGTCTTGATCAGATAGAAAGGTTAAATGTACGTACAGTCCATTTATCATTATCTCCCTGTGTTCACTCAGCAGAAGTCTGCAGGTTAAACGGTGAAATGACGTGTTGACAGCTGTTCTATACGTATTTTTTAAGTAATTCCAAAAGATTAAAAAAAAAAAAAACTTGCCAAGATGTAAAAAAAATAATTGGTGCAGTAAAACATTTTGAGCGACAAAGTTAAAACGCTGCGTTTTTATGGAGACGTAAGGATCAAAACACAATTCTGTTCAAACGCTCCTTTGTCAGCAGCTGGAATGCAGGCGCAAGTGGAAAATGGTCTTCATACTTTTCTCTGGGTTGCAGTGGGGGGGTTAGTAGTGGTTAGAGGGCGGGGTGGTGGGGGGCGGGCTGTCTTTAAAGAGAAGGCCCCTTCAGGATGTCTGACATGTTTCTGCAGGGCCACAGGCCACTGGATGGCGTGGAGCGCATGCTTGTGGTCGGCTGTTTGTCTGTGTGAAGCTGGCATGGCCTCCCCTTCCTCTGCATCTGTTCCCCATTAGCCGAGCCGAGAGTATAAAGCAGGGAGCTGACTGCGGCTGGGATCAGTCTACTTCCTGCCTGGATCATGGGGTTTGCTGTGTGGCTGTGCGCGCTGTGCCTGCAGGCGAGTCTGCTGTCGCACGCCTTGGACTGCTCCGGAGCGAGCCGGGGCGAGCTGTGCGTCGGCGGACAGACCGCAGACAGAAAGGTAAGTGACGCACGTGATGGATGTGATAGTTAGTGAAGGACGAGGGTGTTCATCATGTGTCAGTCATCGTCTGTGCTGCGGAGACCAGGTAAGTCCAGCCGGTCTGAGTCCGTCTAAATGTTGTTTGCTGCAAACTACATAATAACTAACCTCGGCTAAAGATATTTAAAACAAAATTCATTCTTTCATTCAGCCTTTATTTCTACAGTTAATCCCACTGAGAGACCTGACTTTAACAAGCAGTGATTAAATAATAGACAATCATAATGGATGCTACAAAATTAAGATTAATTTTTTTAACAAGTGAAAATAAAATGGTATTTAAAAGAAAATAAAGCAGGTAGATTGAAGGGCGGAGTAGAAAACTCAAAACAAGAACATGAATTGTTTTTTCCCAGGAACCTATTTGAGATTCTTTAGTTGTCTTTTTTATGTAAACTTGTATTTGAAATTAAAATTAAGGACTCTAATATAAATTTCTGCTGATTTTTTGGATATTTTACCCGTGCACAGTAAAAACATCTGGAGCAGCATCTCTAAACTGAATGAAAAGTCTTTCGGGCTGAAAGGGCAGACTCAGCGAGGTCAGTGTTTACACGACAGTTCAGACAGAGGAAACCAGTAACTCTGCTGGAATTTAAACTCGTTTACTTATTTTAAAAAGTCTGTAAACTTTATGGCAGGATGGAAGGAGACAGTCCAACCCTGACCTGTAGAGACGTGTCTTTTTTTTCCTGTCTAACAGAAACAAAGTCTCATTGTGATGGTTTTCACAGCCGCGGTGCCAACGCACCAAAAATATACCCGTCCATGGAACAAAAAGCGTTCCGCGACCCGTTTGGCTTCTCATGTGGCTGCCAGCTGCTACACTTTCAACTTGTGGTTGGCGTTTCCTTCTGTGGACAGTCCTCGTGTTCTGTCCAAAGTCATCACCCTCATCTGGACAAAAGATTCGGCAGCTGCATCGGGAGAGTTTTGTCTGAGAGACTTTGCACCATGTGCACTTTTCTCTTCATGAACTTACAGCGTGCCCAGTTAAAAGCTTCAGTTGTGGTGTGGGCTAACTAACAGCAGCAGCAGCCTCCTTCCATCAGCTGCATCCGCCATATTCGCTTCACTTTACTTGTGTCTGCTCGTTCCTTCCAAAACTACGTGTTTTTTAATTGGCTGCCGCGAAACCAGTAAGAAACTTCTGAGGCTCGCGAGCACGTGCTACGTGCAGAAAGCCACATTATTATGGCGGGTCTTTAATACGTTCACTTCAGAAGAATTCTGTTTTATTTTATGAGCTTTATAATGCCCAAAGCAATATTAGTAATACATATTACAGCCCGTTCATTATGTACAGGCCAAGTACCTGGTACTTACAGGGTACTTGTGTAGAACCTAAGAGGAGCATATTTAATAAAGCAACATGGTACATAGCTGATATCTACATAAAGTGACATGTTACCCTGTACTTATCAGTAGATACTTGATACTTACCAGGTACCTACCTGCATTTTACACAATATCTACCTGGTACTTGTTTTTTACCTGGTACACACCAAGTACTTAAAGCTACCTCAAATGTATTTATTTGGTACATACCTGGTACCTATGAGGGCAGGCTTACCGTGGACATACCTGGTACTGAACAATATTTACCTGGTACATACCTAATATTTTACAAGTATGTACACGGTACTTAAAGGATTCATATACTTGGTGCTTATCTGCTTTTGGCAAGGCACATACTGCAAAAGTACCAGGCAAGTACTTGGTACATACCAACCTGTATTATGAATTGCTACTAATTCAGTGAGCTGTTGGATAAAAGTGTTTTTTAATTATTTTATTGTGAAATATTTAGTGTTGGAAAATGTACTCTGAGTTGACGGTTGTGTTTCCTTTTCCTCCTCAGCATGATGATCAGAGAGCGCTACCTGAGAGGCTGGTATGTACAACTACTCACACATTTGACCTTAAATACTCAAATCTTTCAGCCAGATTTGTAACTTTAATAATTAACTTCTTGTTCAGGGTCATTTTAATAACATTTTCCTTACAGTGAGTTTAAATGTACACGGTCAGTTCTCATGTTTTGGTACAGAATGGTTGACAGCGAGCTTTAGACATGCAGACCCAAACCATAATACTGCCACTACCGTGCTCGACACAAGGTTCTCACATTTGACTGTAATGTTTTTCTCTCCTTCCAAAATGTTTCCTTGAACTTTTTTCATCTTTCTGGTTTATCAACATTTTCTCCAGCGCTCTATGGACGGACACGTCAGTTTTTACTTTCTAAAAATGCCATTTCAAACTCGAACCTGGACACTTCTTGTCCAATCCCAACTGGGAGTTTACCGTTGATGGAAAACCTGAATGACAAGTTAAAATAAATCTGGTAATCTTTAGATCTTTTTGTCATTCATTTGAGAATGGCTCATTGTTCTGAGCAAAGGATCCAAATAATAATGCTTGCCTTATTTATTTAAACAGGATGCCCATCTTTATGGTTCACGTTGTCTCAGAATCTGATCCTCATCCTAAGCATTTCATTGTACCGTTAACCTTCTGTTAACTTTGCAAATGACAAATAAGCACAACTTGAACTTGAACCATGACAAGTGAATACATACAGTATGGCAAATATCACTTTACAGTAGTACCTCGCTACTTCGCAGTTTGTTTATCGCAGACTCGCTCTATTGCAGCTTTTCAAAATAAGATTGGACACGACACACAAATGGCTGATTGATGGATGAGCCGCACGATCAGCATGGAATTTTTATTTAAAATAAATTATTTTTAATTATTTAGCACCTGCTGCACCTTTGTGCACCCCACAGCTGCAGAAAAAGCTTCCTCCTGCAGCTGATCAGCTGATTTCTGCTCTGCCATGAGTAAGTGGGCGTGGCCAAGAGCAGCCGAGGTAGAGAGCTGAAATCATGACTAGGTCTGTCACGATAACAAATTTTACTGGGCAATTAATTGTCTCAGAAATTATTGCGATAAACGATAATATTGTTTGAAATTTGACAATAATTAGTAATTATTGTCAAATTTAAGATGAAATGTTGGTTAATTATTGTGTGTAG